GAGATTATTATTCTTTCTAAAAACTGTTTAGTTTTGCTTACATTCTAAATTTCATATCAACCTCTACCAATTGATCAATAATAGAGGCAGACACACAAGTGCACTTAAATTTATTAAAACTGATCAACGAGTATAATAGTGGGAATGCGTGTAAATTATTATTTTTTTTTAAACGTTGCACATAACATTTATTCATTCATTCATTTTCTTTTCAGCTTAGTCCCTTTATTTATCAGGGATTCGCCAGAGGGGAATGAACCGCCAACTTATTCAGCATGTTTTTACGCAGCGGATGCTCTTCCAGCCACAACCCATCTCTGGGAAACACACATAACGTTACTTATTTTATTATACTTAAATATTTAAATACTTTAAATGTAAAATTACGCATTAACTTGAGCTGTTTTCCCATGCTGCCTCTGTTTCACTGATGCAGTGGTGTTGCTTTTTTAAATATATGATCATATTTGCTATAACTTTGCATCTCTTTTTTAAGATGTTGCCATAGTCACTTGTAATATCTGTGCTCCATTGACAATGCCTTTTTATAGTCTCTGAGTGTGCTTAACTCTGAGTTGTCCTACTCAAAGTTTATTGACATACCTCAGATCAGCTATTTTGAAACCGAAAACTGAGTTTTTAATCTCTCGGTAAATCAACTAAGAGTTTAAGTTTAAACTCAGAGTCGTTTAAACCTCCTTACTGAAACAGGCACCCAGTCTTTGTCATGACAACCTGACATAATCAAAACAAGTAGTTTATGGTTGCCATGAGACCATTATAATTATTTCATGAATATTTTTCTAATCACTTTTTAATTTTTAATTTATTTATTTAAATTACATTTTTAAAAATGTTTTTTTTAAATGTTATTAGAAGTCAATCACAACATTCTAACAACACATTCAGCTTTTACCACTGTATTCGTGATCAAGAAAAATATGCCCTCATGACAATCATATTTGACCGATTTATTAAATGCTTTTCTCTTGTCTTGGTAATGTCAAGTTGTCATGACAAAAATAAAAAAAACGTGTGATGTATTGGTTTGTTAAGTTGTCATTTAAAATTGACATAACGAAGCACATTACATCAAATTACAACTGTCATAAGCATGCATAAAATCTCATTCATTAGTCATGACATTTGTAACAATTATATAGTTTTTATTACAGTTTTATAAACACATTCTTTAAGTCAAGTGTTATCAAAAAGACTACTTCTACCTGATTCCATTTCAGCATCAAACCTGTTTCTGACAAAGTCCCTGATGTTTTGAATGGAGCGATTTGCCAACATAGGATGCTCTGCGGATTTGCATTGTTGGCATTCTATTTTTGTGGCAAGTTTACCCTTGGAAACATGGCTTTGGAAATGTCTCAATACTGCAGCAATTTCATCAGGAGACCATGGTCTTTGTTTTTCTTCTTGCGTAATTTTCAGAAGATTTGAGAATGACTGCAAATAAGAAAACAGATTCATGGGATCAGCACCATGTTGATCAGAGCTCATCTCCATTTCCCAACCGCACCCTTTTCTCAATCATTCTTTATTTAACTTTTTTTGATTATTACTAGAAGTAATTGTATTTTCACAATACTCAAATTTGGAACTGATCAGTACTGGAATTTAAAAACATCTATTTCCCGATAATATCTGGGCTGAGCTCATTCTTAAACAGCGCTCATTTGCCATTGTGTTCACGTGCTCAACAGAAATGACTGTGATTGGCCTTAAAAGGTCATCAGTTTACCAAACTCACCAATGTTTACTGAGTGTAAGCCAAGGTTATTATAGTTAATGAAAACGAACAAAAAACGAAAACTAAAATGTAAAATAATTGTCGTTAACTAAAATAAAAATGAGTTTTTTTTAAAAACTAGACCTAACTGAAACTGTAATGTGTACATACATAACTAACTGAAACTAACTAAAGTTATAGCAAAAACCTCCTTCGTTTTCATATTTGTAAATGTATTTAATACATAATCTTACTGTAAGCCTTTTAGTAGTAAATATAATCTGCGCGCAGGTGTTTGTTTTTAACCTTTTCGCACCTGAGTCTCCTGCCGCCATTGGCCAGATTGAGCCGGTTCTTCTCTAGTCATCTTTACTGTTGCTCCCGCGACAAAAGCAACGAGTGGACATGACAGCAGCACGGTGACAGCATTAATTACAGAGACTTAAAACTATTACTTAAACATATTTGTGCTCAATAATGGATTTTATTTCAGTATCGCAAACTAATCTTTTTAACCGGATCTTCTAAGTGAACCAATTGAACAAGCTCACCAAATCAAACTGAATAATTTCAAACGAATCGCGTCTCAAGTAAGCACTTATCCACAAACTACTTACTTTATAACAAGCCTAATACCCCCCTCTGACCGTACGTTCACACCGAAAGCGGCGAGAGCATCCAAGGTCGCCCTGGCGACAACGCTGTCTGCCTTCAGCTCCGGCGGTGAGAGCGTCAAAACTCGCTACATTGATCTCGTACTTAAAGGAGCCGTTGCAGCATATCAGTTACATTCCTGCATAAGACATGTTTTTAGCGTGAAAATGTTGCGCACTTCTTATCAAATTCATATAACAATGGAAGATCAAGTTGCATGTGGTGTGGCTTTGCTCTATTTATCCAATATGTGTCCATATGTCTGAAATATCCTGAAGCAGCTATACTGTTTTGTACTGTCACATCGCGTGAGATTCCCGCTTTTTAAAGATAAATTTACATAACATTGATGAACATCAGTAACTCGCCAGTAACTTATTTAATGTATGTTCCTGTAAGAAAACATTGTAAATAATTGGAAATCCGGCGACCGCAATAATCAAACCCTTGGGAACAACTGTGGTCGGAACCAAAGTTCACAGGTCTGTGTTCCCTGAACTGCTATCAAGCGGTGGATGTCTTTATTCTGATTGCTTGCCGCCGAACCGCGTCCTAGCTCATTACCATAAAGTTGACTTCATTTCAACTCTCCTCGACGCTCACGCCGGCGAAGACGCGCCGCGCTGCTCCTCGCCGCTTATCGTCGCCTATCGCCGCCGGCTCTCATTGAAAATGAATGACTTCCGGCTATTTTGACGCTCTCGCCGCTTTCGGTGTAAACGTACGGTGACTCTGAATAATCCAATATATACTCATTCAGTTTTTAGAACAGTAACGTTACATTGAGAAGCGGTGAACCGATAAAACTGCGCATGCATGATTCAGTGAACCAAACACAAAAGGTACAGCCTGCTGTATGACTGAACTGAATTTAAAACAACTACAGCTAAACCGATGGCTTAAATGAGAGGATCTGGTGAAAAACGTAAGTTTATTTCTTAACAGACAATCGTAATGGAATTTAAATCAGTGAATCATGATTCAGTTGGTTGCAAAACTTTACTGTAAGACATTTTTCATATCATGGTGATGTTTTAACTGACTGAATTACTATTGCTGACTACATAATGTTGAGTCATAACATCCACGTTAAAAATCTATACCTCCCATCACCATGCCCGGATTAATAATTCAGAAGCCCCTGGGCACAATGTCTTGTAGGCCCCCTATAGCCGCACCCCATAGTTGAATTAAAAAATAAGATTAATATAATATTTGTTAAATAAAATTAATTTATAATGTATTGCCCACATTTTTAAAATGAATGATATACACTACATATATTTCTAGTCTACAAAGATTAAACTTATTTTTAAGCATTTAAAGCACACTTTGAAAAAAATACTAATACAACTAGGGGAAATTAATGGATTTTAATATATTTGTTCAAGTTCACTGAAGCAGCACAAACATTTATATTTAAGGGTATTTTTAGTGTATAACTTCTACAAACTTATAATGCACATGATTTAGATATAACACCTCTCCAATCCAGTTCTAGGAATCTGAGTCCTCCATAATACACACATATTAATGATTCCTACTTCTCTTGCTCGTGATGAAGAGTAGGCAAAATCTAAATGCGTACTGGGCCTGTGCCCATAATGCCAATTGGTTAATCCAGCCCTGCCCATCACTACTGTGTCTAACCTCAGAAGAAGCCTTGCACACATATTGTACTTAAGACTGCTGTCTTGTGGGCTGTTGTATTTGAATTTGAGGATGGTTTTTATGCTGTTGATTTTGAATCTTGCACCTAACAAATGTCCTTATTTAGAAAAAACTTAAATACTGGAACTAATAAAAACTAAACTAAAACTAAGACATTTTTAAAATATAGAAACTAATAAAAATTAAGAAATCTACCTCAAACTAATTAAAACTAACGGAATTTGAAAACCAAAGGTCAAAACGAAATAGAAACTGAAACTAATAAAATATCCAAAACTATTATAACATTGGTGTAATCACAGATACAAGGACACTGGAACGTTTTAAAGCTGTGAAGTTCAGCTGGTCTGTCTTTGAGCTGACATATGAAAAATCCCCTGATGAATCGACTGATCTTCACTGCTTTAAAGCACTCCAGTGTTCGAATTTTTGTGTTTACACTTAGTAAACGGTGGGGAGTTGATGACCTTCACAGTCAATAACAGTCATTTCTGTTGAGCATGTGAACACAACAGCAAATCAGTGCCGTTTAAGAACACGATCAACAGTGCTTAAATTTTAGTGGGAACGTTTAGCGGACGTTTTTCAAATTTCAGTACTGACTGGACCGCATACCGCATCGTGAGAGCACTTAGGTGCAACAATTTAATTAGTACGATAAACTAATTGACCATACTTGGCACTACATTGTGCCTTAATAAAAATGTAAATAAACAAAATGAAATAACTTGATTTATGATATTGGCAATATTCCTTTTAACAGGTTCTTAGAAAAAAGAAAGAGAGAGAGAGAGAGAGAGAGAGAGAGAGAGAGAGAGAGAGAGAGAGAGAGAGCAGTAAATCAAAACATGACTTTAGCTGGGTTTTCACAGAGAGGGTTACAATTAATTTTTTATTGTTATTATTTTTTAATTTATCAAAGCACAATACTTACTTTTACATTTTACCCTAACCCACTTGAATGCATTGTAGGGCCCACTGCAGCTGGCACATTTATCCAAGCTTGACACAGCTACTGATATTACATAAAGTTTACAAATCTGTTGAAAAAAAAAAAAATCATCAGCAGCAGTAAATACACAAGGACACAATACACAGCCTATATTAATACACAATATACCACCATAAGTAAGTAGAAAGACACACAACACCTAACCCATGTTAAATACACAATATAACACTGTAAATAAATATCAGGACACAACACACAACCTATTAGGCATGGGATGATAGTCAGTTTCAAGGTTTACAGTTAAAACAAAAACAAAATGTTATACCATTCCTAAGGTATATGTACGTTTTTTTTTTTTTTTAGATGTTGTCAAAGACCATCTACAACATAAACTACAATTCAGCTTAAATTCATCCCACAATTCCTCAAACATTTGAAAAACAAATCACTTGTGCACCACCATTCAGCATGCTGTGCACCTGAACAGTGCAGTGGCTTATTATTCAAAGAAAAGAAAGATCTCCAAAGATGTATTTTCATGTTGTAAAGAAATCTGTGTTTTTAAAAACTAATGGAGATAACAGAAGTCAATTACATGGTTTCCACTACATTCATTCTTTCATGGCGGGGCGCCACACCAAAATTTACCCCACCACTGCTACATTACTACTCATTCAAAACATTTAGTCATTGTTTTTTTAATAGCGGGTTATAAAACGCACCAAAACGCATTAAAAGTTAAAGGTGCAGGTGATTGTCTTCAGAAACATTTGTTGTTGTGCTGGTTGAAAGTCTCTTCACAGTCCAATATAATGATTACAGTAAATGATCTAAATGTGTTTAAATGTAATTTTATATTCTGGGCAAGGCATAAAACTAAAAAATGTTTACCCAATTAAATAGAGTCGGACCGACATCTCCCATAACTCCGATAAGCAGCTCAGACTGTCTGTCAGCAAATGTAGATTGGGACTTCTGCGCATCCGTTCAAGCCATTAGGATGTGCCCGTCTGCATAAGCTGCCGGGCCGTCACGAGACGGACCAGGAGAAATCAAAAAATGAATTGAAACTTTTAAAAACCTATATCAATATTGGAGTAACTTGAGCACGCTGGAAGAAAGACAACACCATTGCTGAAGTATTACTGTTAGACAGGTAATGTTCTGTTTTAAAACTATTTTAGTCAGGCTAAGCTAATGTTAGATTGTGTTCTGTTGTGAATGACTTATATGCACAGACGTGTTGTTCAGCCACTGAAATCTCCCAGTGAAAGATTGATGTGATTATTTTCAGTTTCATAAGGTCCTTTTACAGCATCGATAATGTAGATTTATATTTAGTTTAACAACAAAACATCAGTAAATAGCTCTATTCCGCCTAACTGCTTTATTGAGCTGAAGTTGCTTTTATATTCACATTGGGTCATTTTTGAACAATGCCAGCCTTCCTATACCGTTTACCGCTACTCTGAATATTCGCTCTGAAATAGCATGTAAGTATGGCTAAGTAATATGTAATTCCTGCACGACGCTGGCTAAACACTAAGTCTAACTGGCGAATGACATGAACTAGTGGGTTGTCTGTCTGTTGTTGTGATGCGGTGCGCGCGCTAGTTACTTCAGGGGTTGTGGCTTTGAATCACAGTCCCTCCCCGCCGTCCAAAGATAATATGCTAAGCGGTTAGCATTTTGGCACATCACCTACTGCACCTTTAAGTGAATTATAACAGAGTGAACTTTTCTGTAACAGTAGTATTGCTGTGCGTTATTTGTTTAAGTAGTTGGTAGATCCGTGTAAAAGGCCCAAGAGAGTCTGCCGCCACATCTGAAAAAAATTCTAAAGAAAACACTGAATTATATATTTTTATTATTTAGCCTGACATGTTGAACGTTTTAAAATAATTTAAATGTTTCTTAAAAAAAATATATACTTTGATTTTTTTTTTTTTATCCAAAGTAATCATACTGTCAGAATCATATACCAGCCCATGCCTACAACCTATTGTATAAGTGAATACAACAACAGTGAATACGAGAACACACAACCTAATTTAATACACAATATAGTACAATCAGTAATTATGGGGACACTACACACAACCAATAGGTCCAATTTGGCTTTAGTAATGGAAACCTGCATCTTCTGTCCCTCCCCCACAATACACAACATGACAACAACAGTAAATACGAGGACACACAACCCAATTTAATACACAATATAGCACAATCAGTAATTATGGGGACACTACACACAAGCAATAGGTCCAATCTGGCTTTAGTAACAGAAACCTGCATCTTCTGTCCCTCCCCCACAATACACAACATGACAACAACAGTAAATACGAGGACACACAACCTAATTTAATACACAATATAGCACAATCAGTTAGGGCTGCTCGATTATGGGATAAATCATAATGACGATTATTTTGGTCAAAATCGTTCTCACGAATTATCAGTTGAAGTCAAATATTATTCGCTCTTCTGTGAATTTTTTTATATACAAATATTTCCCAAATGTTGTTTAACAGAGGAATTTTTCCACACTATTTCCTGCTTCTTTTGGTAAAGGCTTATTTGTTTTATTTCGGCTAGAATAAAAGCAGGTTTTAATATTTTGAAATCTAATTTAATAGCTCAATATTATTAGCTCGTTAAGCAATATATATTTTTAATGGTCTGCAGAAGAAACTACTGTTATACAATGACTTGGCTAATTACATTAATTAGGCCTTTAAATGTCACTTTAAGCTGAATACTAGTATCTTAAAAAAATATCTAGTAAAATATTATGTGCTGTCATCAAAGCAAAGTTAAAAGAAATCAGTTATTAGAAATGAGATACCAAAACTATTGTTTAAAAATGGGTTGAAAATAATTCTTTCCATTCATAGATATTGGGGGGAAAGGGTCGCTAATAAATCAGGAGGGCTAATAATTCTGACGTTAACGGTATATATGCAGTTATTTTCCTTCCTGTAAATAAGGAAAGGGAAATAAATACAATAAAAAAAATATGAAACAAACTGAGCTTTAAGCATCTTCACTGCAAGAAAAAAAAAAAAACTTTAGCTACAAAAGTCCTTCAGTCAAGAGCAGCGAGAGATTTTCTCCATTTGTTTGATAAAAAATTAATTCCTTAAGCAGGAATATTGCATGCTGTCACTTAAAAGAATAGTGCGGCTCTGATATGGTTTCTCTTTCACATGTTTTTTTATTCTCAACTAGTTTATTACAAAAATGAGGGTTAAAATGAATAATCACTAAACACCGCGCTCTGACACGAATGTGCATGTATTTGACCATTAAAGCACTCACTTTAAGATGACTTTCGATGTGTGTGCTCTGCTCGTCTCTGAGGCCAAGCACGAACACAAAACAGCATGCGCTCGTTTGCACGTTTAAAAACATGAATGATTCGAATGTACATAAATGAATGATGCTCATCCCGTGCTGCAAAAGTTACATTACAGTAGATGCTTTTAGTCATTTTTACGTGGAACTGAGCTTTGCAGAGCAACAAATGTGCAAAACTGGAAAGGGGCGGTATATGATGCAATAATCGTTTATCTTGATTAATGTTTTTTCATGATTGTTAGAAGTCAAAATGGAAATCGGATTATCGATTAATTGCACAGCCCTAAAATCAGTAATTATGAGGACACCACACACACACAACCTATAAGTCCAATCTGGCTTTAGTAATGGAAACCTGCATCTTCTGTCCCTCCCCCACAACATGACAACAACAGTAAATACGAGGACACACAACCTAATTTAATACACAATATAACACAATCAGTAATTATGGGGACACTACACACAAGCAATAGGTCCAATCTGGCTTTAGTAATGGAAACCTGCATCTTCTGTCCCTCCCCCACAATACACAACATGACAACAACAGTAAATATGAGGACACACAACCTAATTTAATACACAATATAGCACAATCAGTAATTATGGAGACACTACACACTAGGGCTGCACGATATTGGAAAAAAAATTGACATTGCAATATTTTTTTTCCTGCGATATATATTGCGATATTTTTTTATATATATACTTAAGACTAGTGCTGTGATGGTCACCGTGACAACTGGGTCACCACCGTGGTTAGTTGCCACCACGGTTGTCCATTGTCAAAAAAGAGAAAGTGATAAATGGAAGACATTGATGAGAAATGGAGCAACATATTTGGTAACTAGTTAAGAACGCGCCGCCCCGCAGCAGAGAGAAACCTGCTTTGCGAGAAATGCTGGCGGCGGAACAGAAGCAAGAAACCCTATCGCATGGTTGTGAAAAAGTAGCCTGTCTGTGCATTTTCGCTACAAGCACACCGTCTAACAGTGTATTGCTGGAAACATTATAACCCCATTCTTCACTTAAACCGGACAAAGTCAACATGTTAGTTTTTCTGGAAAATAATTTAAAATACGAATACAAAAGGTGGAGAGAACCTACGCTGTTTTTTTAAACATCTGACTTACATTGTTACTAGGTTAATATTTTCTTTTTACTTACAATTATTAATATTTATATTATTATTACACTGATGAGTAAAGTGCCATTTAGGCTGTTTGCTAAGTAAAGTAACATTTAATTGTTATTATTATAAGGTTTCAAGCAGTTAAAGTTTTTTAATATTTAACTACAATATTTATAAACAGTTTTGTGTTGTTTTATTAACGAAAGTTAAACGCGTACGTTTATACCGAGGTTTTATTTATTAATATTAAGTTAAGTTATTCCTTAATTTTTACATTAAAGGTAAATTAACTTAGGTAGGCTACTTTATTTGTTTATGTACGAGATCGAGGAACAAGTTTGCCAGTAAATAATATTCTCACCACTTTAAAAAAATAAAATATAAATAATCAGCGAAAAAGATGCAATAAAAAATGCGAGCGCTTAATCATTCTTCACAATCAGATTTGTACGTGCAATAAGCCTAGGGTATATTTAGCATACAAGAACAAGCCCTAAAACAAAGTCTAGAGAGAATTTTAATATTAGTTAATATTAATGATTATAAACACGAATTGCGTTGTATGATAAACGCCTCACAATGTCGTGATCTTTTCTAAAGAACAGATAATCCATGTTATCGCCGTCTCCCCAGCCAGGTTTTCATCTGCTTTTTGTTTCTTCTTCTAGCTACAAACAATAAACTATCAGCGCCAGACCAGTGGTTTAAATGATATTTCACTCTCCTGATTTTTTTTCTTTTTTTAAAAAAAAACATAAATGTTTAAAGTTTTGTATTGCATATATATTTTTAAAGATTATCATTCAGTCTACCTGCAGCGCATACGAGAGGTTGCAAATCCCCTTTACTCATGCTACCTATTTCATTTATGACACTGTAAACTTGACTTGGCAGGCTGATCATCTTTAAACTCAAAAGGTATTTTTTTAACTTCTGCATAATGTGATGTTTCTTATTACAACTGTTAGCGGTGTCAAAATGAAAGCAAACATTAAAAAGGGTTTTGTTTTATCAATTGTATAGTTTAGTTTTAATAATAATGAATACAATAAATTATAATATTGATTATTGTGTAGACTACGGTGTCCAACAAAACATTTTTATTAGGTTACTCTAATAGACCTAATCCCTAACTGAAAAACGAATGTGAAAATGACAGGCAGTTGCGTCCCTGCTAAAATTAATTTAACGACAAATTTCTTTTGCATTTTTTCCCTTTTAGAGATCAAGAGAGCTGTATTTAAGAATTATTTAACTAAAACATGAATTGAATGCCCAGTTCTTTCCCGTGTGAGTTTAGTGCGCCTCCTGATCTTCGTTTTAAAGGTTACAGGTGCACCCTGACCTGACGCGGGGACCAGATCTCTGTACTATTGCTTTAATTTCACAATTTTCATAACTGCATTGCATTTTCATATGGTAAAATATCAAAATTTATGTTCTGAAAGTAGTAGGAATGACAGGAGTGTTAGTAATTAATGACAGAAAGAACTTGCGCTTTTGAGTGAACTTCTGTCAAGTGTTATTTTAGTATGATTAAAAAAAATTATTTAACAAAAATAGTAATGCAGTATTTTTTTGCTCTGCCAAGCCTTCTCTGTTGCTGTGGGGCGCAGCAGCATGCGTCAGTCACCCTTTCCCCCAGCCCCACCCCACCCCCGACTCCTGAACAGCATGCAACACACAACCTATTGGTCCAATCTGACTTTAGTAAGAGAAACCTGCATCTCCTAACTATTCCCATTTTAAAAATGACATAATATCCAATTACACAAATAACCCGGAGAGCAATTCTGCTAGGTATCAAACACTTGTAGGTATCAAATACATTTACCTTCTGTGTTCCAGTATTGTCTCCTGCACAGCTGAGTGAAGTACTGGTCTGGATTTCAGTGTCAGAGGTCACCTGTTTAGATGAACAACACTATTAACACAAGTAAACCCTTACAGAACTGACAAACTGTATAAAAAGTAAACTTTATGAGAGTTTCAGCATATATAGAGAGCTAAACTAAGAGAAAATATACAGTCAGCGTTCTCAGACATTTATTTTCTGTGTTCCAGTATTGTCTCCTGCACAGCTGAATGAAGTACTGGTCTGGATTTCAGTGTCAGAGGTCACCTGTTTAGATGAACAACACAATATTAATATATGTAAATCCTTACACAATTGACAAACTGTATAAAAAGTAAACTTTGTCAGTTTCAGCAAATATAGAGAGCTAAACTAAGAGAAAATATACAGTCAGTGTTCTCAGACATTTACCTTCTGTGTTCCACCATTCTCTCCTGCACAGCTGAGTGAAGTACTGGTCTGGATTTCAGTGTCAGAGGTCACCTGTTTAGATGAACAACACAATATTAACTTGGGTTGGGTACCAAAACCTGGTGCCATTATAGCACCGGTACCTAAGTAACCAAAGTGTACCGGATCAAATCAGCATATGAATTTTGGGGCCTAATTTCAGTGCCACTGGTGCTGCGACAAGGACGTATGAAGGACGTAAACATTTAATCCTAAACAACTTTGAGGAATACGGACAGGCAATGTAAGTGATTGTTACTGTCGCTTAGGGAACGGACGCACGCAATGCGCGCAGTAAAGCACATTCAGCCTGGTTTTCGGTCAGCGAGAGCGACACTCCAGATCAACACGCATGACCACTTTCATCAAAATTGCTTAAACTAAGCATTTTAAAGCATATTTTACAAGCAAGGATTGAAACATGTCAAACTTAATGACACATTTGAGGGCTCAAAGGCAGAGGAACTCTACTTTCGCGGCACTTGCTCTCTGTAAAGGAGCTGCGCGGATCAGTTCCCTGCATTCGTCAGAAGTTGACGCCCAAATTGACACAGGTAATAAAAAGATTGAACTGCAGTCATGTTCAGGTTGTGAAACACTATCAAAATGTCCACTGTTGATGATATTAGACTTCTGTTTTCAATAGCGATTTTAACACTTTTATAATAGGAAGTCCTCGGCTATGCAGAGACCATTATTAATTAGAAATCTAGTGTACAGAGTTTAACGTTAGGAAATGCAGTCTTGAATTTACAAACAGTCGGTAAGTACCAAAGAACAGATGTAAGACATTGATCAGATGTAGTTTTCAGTCACGCTCATGCAAGTCATATTCAACTTGTTTAGTTTTGCCTTCATTCATTTTTGATTTCCGTCTTCAACACATGATTTATTTACAACACTTTTTTAAACACAATAGTTTAACTTATAACTTATTTCTAAAATCTGCTGTTTTATCTTCCCCATGCTAGACAGTCAGTGCAGAACATTTTACTATTTATTTTGCAAGACAGTTGTATTCAGACAAAGTCCCTTTAAGTATTTTATAGTCTTTTATTCAGATTAAAGTGTAATTTAATGACTTAATCAGTTTACTACGAAAGTTAAAATTATTCAAATTATTTTGTAACTGATTTTTTGTGTAAATCAAAAATATCCAGCAAATATTTCTTGAAGAGGCTAAAAATACTGACCTTATTTTTATTTAAATTAAAAACAGCTTTTATTTATGAAATAAACAATAAGATATAGAACTTATAATAACTCTGGAATAATTCTTTTTTTTTTAGGAAACACTTTGAACATTTTCAGAAAAATTATTTTAAATGAATGGGAAGGCAAAATAAATTGACTTCAACTGCAGGCCTGTTAAAGTTTACAGATGCAACAATGTGCCTTGATGTACTTGAATGTTAGAAATGTGTTCTCCTACACCAGTATAACGTTACTCGTCAAATAAATGAACAAGGAAGGTTATTTTGAGTTTAAGTTATTTAATTATCTTGTTTATGAAGACTGCAAAGTAATGCAAGAAAAAAAATGACTTTGAATCATTTTTTAAGTATTTTGTGATATACATGTTAAAATGTGCCTCCAAAAGTACGTGGCCCCTGCCTGCTCCCCCACAGGTTAATAGTAAGCTAATGTAATTTCAAATTGCAAATCCTAAATTCATGCTAACCAACAAATGATCAAAGGAAATGTATTAATGCAACTCAAATACAAAAATATGAATTGATGTTTACTTGAAACTTTAATTATATTGTTCTATTAAAATTATTATTTTTTTAATTGTCAAATAAAAGATTTTTCTAGAGTCATCCACCATAATTTTGTGGCTAAAAAGTATCGGTTCAGGCACTGTTTTGGCACCGGTTTCGTTTTAAAAGTATCGATTTACAGTAGGTATCAAAAAAAAAAAAATGATACCCAACCCTTATATTAACACATGTAAATATTTACACAATTGATAAACTGTATAAACAGTAAACTTTATGAGAGTTTCAGCATATATAGAGAGCTAAACTAAGAGAAAACATACAGTCAGTGTTCTAAGACATTTACCTTCTGTGTTCCACCATTTTCTCCTGCACAGCTGAGTGAAGTACTGGTCTGGATTTCAGTGTCAGAGGTCACCTGTTTAGATGAACAACACAGTATTAATATATGTAAATCCTTACAGAACTGACAAACTGTATAAACAGTAAACTTGACAGTTTTAGCATATATAGAGAGCTAAACTAAGAGAAAATATACAGTCAGCGTTCTCAGACATTTACCTTCTGTGTTCCAGTATTGTCTCCTGCACAGCTGAGTGAAGTACTGGTCTGGATTTCAGTGTCAGAAGTCACCCGTTTAGATGAACAACACTATTAACACAAGTAAATCCTTACAGAACTGACAAACTGTATAAACAGTAAACTTTGTGACAGTTTTAGCATATATAGAGCTAAACTAAGGGAAAATATACAGTCAGTGTTCTCAGTCATTTACCTTCTGTGTTCCAGTTTTCTGTCCTGCACAGCTAAGTGAAGTACTGGTCTGGATTTCAGTGTCAGAGGTCACCTGTTTAGATGAACAACACAATATTAAACAAATGTAAATGCTTGAAGAATACGGTATTTTTCAAAGATTTAAGTTTATTTTGGCTTAATTTTATATAACCAAATAATTTTTAAGAAAACAACTTTAATCTCTGCATACCTTGTTCCTCCATGGCCATTCTGAAACATCATAGTTATAAGTGATCTCTTGCCCTGGACTGATGTCCTTTGTTGCGAATAAGCACAAATAGGGTTTTCTATCAACATTGATTATTTTCATTTTGCTGTTTGTGTTTATATGATTGTCATTAATAAGTCTACCCAACGAGCCATCTTCTCTTGCAGCATCAACCCTGAATCATAGAAAACAATGCCACCTCATGTAATTACAGTAGTTACTAAATTACACAGTAAGTAATTGCAGATCAAAAAAAATTATCAAGTTTTGGAAAAGACAAGTTCCTTTTTTATATATATATATATTTAAGGAAAATACAGAAACATAAATGTTAGCAAATTTAATAAAGCAATATACATACCATAACAGTCTTCCATTAAAAAGCAGTTGAAACAAAAACACTTCAAGTGCATTATGATAAAGTCTGCGTCTTCTTTCACATTCTTCTTTGGTTATTATGTCTCCTCTATATTCAACTAGAAAATCTTCTTTTCTATAGTGGCTAGAGCTGAATACTCCCCGACCTAGCAAATGATTTTTCAGATTAGTCATGAAAAAGAACAATTATTGGAGATCCCTGACGTAAACAGACTTTTTTTTCTTACCTTTGAATAAGCTTATGTATTTTATTTCAAACCCAGTTTTATCTTTTGAAGTCAAAGCATAGTACACTGCTTCATCCTTTGGTTTCAGTTTGAGTCTCTGCGACCTTGCTGTCACCATTTGTCGCAAGCAATGCACCAATGTCACTGTACATCAATGCATTTTTGTAATTTTTTTTTTAATCATATTTAGTTTATTTATTTTTTCAAAGGGTACACATGTTAAAGTTTGTGCTTAGTCTGTAATATGCATGTCAGTATGACATGCCAGTGAAACAGGAAAAAAAATGTAATGTAAGTTACTTAAAATTATTTGTTTGCTTTTTCTTTGTCAGTAAAATGTCAAATACACACAGACTACATATTTAATAGGATGAAACATCTGTATACACGTTACCTTTACAGAAATATTCACATGTGCAAAATACAAATGTGAAATGTGTGCTTCTGGAACACTTTTGTGTGAATCCCATGTTAATTCATGCCAAAACCACCAAAAGTGTTTTGGAACCACGTTTCACATTTAGATTTACCATATGTGAATGTTTTGTGACCATTTTGTAAGTGTAAGCAACATTATTCATAAATAAAATGAAAATGAGGACAAAATAAAACGATTAAACTACTTCATCAGCACGTGCTATGAAAAATACAGTTAACATAACGTTACAGTTATGAAAACATATTCGTCTTGTATCTTGGGTGCAGTAAAAACGTCTAATAACAAGTTAGACCATAACGTGTAACTTATCATTACATACATTAGTGATATCAATCTGACAATAACGTTATGACTTGATTAGCAAATACTCATCTTACAAAATTAATAACCCAACAAACACATTTACGTTGTAGCGATGTCTGCACAACGTTGTATTTTTTCAAAGGCAACGTTGCCGCTTACGTGCTCGCTACATTGTCACAACGTAGAAATGTAAGACGTGAGAAGGCTGTAGCAACGTTGTCGTGCGACATTCAGCAACCGCGAGGCGGCGTTCTTACTACTTGTATTAATATTTTTTGTGGCAGTTTATCAATACTGCCTAGAATACAGGATAAGCAGCAATTCTTTTCCAGTATTGCGTAATATGAAATATTGTTTATATATTTTTCCTATTTAATTTAACAACTGCATGTGTAAACTTTAAAGTGTAAAAATAACACACAAATGAATCTAATCAAACTTTTTATTATATATTTCACAACATTTAATACATACAGTACACATCTAATTATAAACAAACAGTATAAAGTTTAGATTATATATATATATATATATATATATATATATATATAATTAAACTAAAGGGTAAACAAACAAGAAAAGTAAAAAAGAAATCATTAAAATGTAAATATATATATATATAAATAAATATATAAATTAAAATTCAGACACTGGGCAGTGAAGCTGGACTGGAGAATACAGCAGACTGGAGAGCGCAGCTGAAGACCAGGCATAGTTGTTGGTATGGAGAAAGCTGTCAGAGGAAAAAAACAAATTCAACAGATAATCCAGCTTCAGAGATCCACAGCAGACACAAGTCAAAATAGGCAGTGAACAAGAGAGGACAGATGGAAACGACTATGACTAGCAAGTTATTGAAGTTTCAGACATTTATTTTAATTTCATTACATATAAAATCTCCAGTGAGTAATTATGTAGCCTACTTTATTTTAATGCTTTAATTAGTATATCATATACCAAAATCACATACAATTAAATAAATTTAGAGATACAGGGAAAACAGGTTTGAGTTAACAGAGTTAGTCTCCCAATACTTACTTAAATTATGAGAAGAGAAAGAAGAGGTCCTGTAGTTGTGGCGTTGCTCACTGTAAATGGAATGTTAAACTTAGTGTCATTTCAATAACAGCTGTACAAAATAATAAAGTAATTTTTCATAAGCATGATCTATTTTCCACATTATGAACATGCTGTTTCAAGTAACATAACTACATTTATTATGATAGTAAATAGAGTAGTATACTTTTTACCTCATTCAATTATTCTTTCCATAGATCGGGAATTACAGCAACACTGATCTGAGGTGAATTCAACAGCTGAAACCATTCTGAAAGACAAGTTACACGAGTAATTTGAAAACAACAGTGAGTGGTTAAGCAATAGAGTTTTATGCAACTTACACATACTTAAAATCCAGAAATTATCAATAGAAGATTACCTCCATGTGAAAATAGCCTGTTGAGCAAAGAAAAGAGTGGGTTTTAAATAAAACATCAAAAGACCAATCAAAATAGAAATTTAGACTAGCAGACCTTTTTACTGATATCTATATTAATTAGGCATATGAACATCAACTTATATACTTTAACTTATAGAGATAGCTCACCCAAAACTGACAATTCTGCCATTTAGCCTCATCCTTTATTTGTTCCAAACTTAAGTTTTAATTATTTAGCTTTTTTTCTGCTAAACAATAAAGATGTATTAAATAAAGCTGGAAAACTGTAACTATTTAATTAGTGTTTTTTACTATGAAAGCAAATGCTTACAGTCTTTAGTGTTCAACAGAATAAAGAAACTTAAAGGTTTGGAATCACTTATTATTTACAGGGCAAATAATTCGTGAGTACAAATCATTTTTGAGTGAACTGTCCCTTTACCGGGACGCAAACTGCACAGAGATGTTTTGTATTTAAAAGTTATTTTGTGTGTTTTGTAAAAAGTGGGTCGGCTCGTGTGATGAAGTATCATACTGACTGATCACTATGGATATGGAAAAAACTGAACTTCAAAAACATTATTTCCTATTTGACTAAAGACTAGGCGTAGGTAAATAATCAGGAAATGTTTTATCGAGAGATTTAATGATTTTAATGTTGTCGCCGTCCGTGAACGGAATGCTGAAATGTTACTCGCTCGTAACAACTTCATTACGGCTTTTGTGAGTGTGTAATGTTGGAACAGATTGTTGTCGAAATCGTAGGTTTGTTTGAATATTCACGATTTACGTATCTTATTTAGCAAGAAGAAATAAAGCAATACTCACGTCTCCTCGGTCGTTGATGAATGAGACGACGGCTTGTTGAAATTTAAACTGATTCAGCTGTGACCAGTAAATGTTGTACAGTGGTTGTCCACGCCACCTAAGCACAACCTAAAGTATGCGGCCCTCATGATGTTTAAATGGCAACCTTATGACATCGTTGTGACAACGTTTAGCAACAACGTAGAATCCTCAACCTTTTTGCAAGGTTGGTACAACGTTGTAGGAAGGTCGCTACGTTGAGGCAACGTTGTGTGTTTGTTGGGAAGCACACTATAAACGATTACATGCAACGCATCTGTTACTTTGGTAAGCCATGACGACATTGCAAACATAAACGTAATACTAGAACAATAAATCATCATTTTAAAAACGATAGTTCATCATTCTTGACAGGAAATGAAAAGTACGCTAACTTACAAGGTTAACAAGGTTACTTGGTTTACTCGCTGTTAAGTTTAGTCAAATAATGCACATTAATCGTGTAACGTTAACGTTAGTACACTTAATTATCTGGGTGTTTATTTAACAGTCTTACCTTAAAGGTCTTGAAACTGATGATTGACACCCATGTGTCATCGGATCTTCCAGCATAAAATCGCTTGAGTTCAGTGGCTATCAGTTTCCATAAATTAATTCACATTTAATCAATCGTATGCAATCAATCGTCGAATAAACAAGCTCCGTGCTTCTTTGTGTTGTCTTCAAACGATGAGTGATATCCATCTGTCCAGCGCGGAATTGATTGAGTCAGGTGGTGGCGATTGGCCAATAACAGGCATTTTTTTCTTTATTGATCTTATAAAGGTAGTGGGGGATTTTTATTATTTAATTAGAACGTAATTCATATTTATACATATTTAAAACTATTTTTTAATCATTATTGTTTACACAGATGTTTGACAGATACAGTTATTATGAGGACGTTTGATGGTCAGCCAATCACATGCCGCGATTTCATACACTCGCATGCATAATTAATGAGGGGATGCAGTACCCAGTCCGGGCTACAGGGGCGCATGTCGAATACACACGTAATACACAAAATCAGGTTTATGTGAACTATAAAGTCATGTGGAGAAATTTTGGATTTGAGCTCTTCTACATTAAAGAAGCACTTCTACATTGCTAAAATTATGAGGACTCCGACCATGTCCTCATAATTGAAAATGTCCTCATAATGTGGCGTGTATTCATATGAAATGTCTTCGTAAATCACATAAACCAACACACACACACACACACACACACACACACACACACACACACAAACTAGATAGCAATTATACTGTCTTTACTACAAACATGTTGTTTTAAAACTGCTTCATGCTAATAAATCAAAAAATCACAGATAATTGGAACAATTATTTTAATCCCAGTTTATTTGCAAAAAAAAAAAATTATGTGGGTATGTGTATACATGTCATTATAAAATCATGATGTCGGTCAATCAATTTAATGGGCATCACATTGTGGTGGGCCTCAAATTAGGAGGGCTTTGTGTCCTGTTTTAATGTCAGGAATTTTATATATATATATATATATATATATATATATATATATATATATATATATATATATATATATATATATATATATATATATATATTTTTTTTTTTTAAAGAGACTTATTGTGTTTATAACGCTTCAATATGATAGTGG